GGCTATTATGGCATTTGATCGCTACCTTGCCATCTGCTGGCCTCTACATTACCCAACTCTTATGATTGGACGACTCTGCTCCAATCTTGTGGTCAGCTGCTGGGTACTTGGTTTCCTCTGGTTCTTAATTCCCATCATCATCATCTCCCAAATGTCCTTCTGTGGATCCAGGATTATTGACCACTTCCTGTGTGATCCAGGCCCCTTGTTGGCCCTCACCTGTACTAGATTCCCTGTAATAGAGTTAATGAGCTCCACCTTAAGTTCTCTGCTCTTATTTATTCCCTTTCTTTTCATCATGGTGTCCTATGCTCTGGTCCTGAGAGCTGTGTTGAGGGTCCCTTCAGCAGCTGGACGAAGAAAGGCCTTCTCCACCTGTGGGTCCCATCTGGCTGTGGTTTCCCTTTTCTATGGCTCAGTGATGGTCATGTATGTGAGCCCAACATCTGAACATGAAGCTGGAATGCAGAAAATAGTGACTTTGTTTTATTCTGTAGTCACTCCATTCATTAACCCTGTAATATACAGCCTGAGAAACAAAGATATGAAACGTGCTATGAAGAAATTATTAGGAACATAAAAGTAAGAGTCTTGGTTTAAAATATTTTGGGGAGTGGGCAGAATCTGTTTAATTTCTTAGTTAAAAAGAAGACTGACTGACATCACTCAGAAAATTGTTTATATTGTTTTTGAACTTTATACACCATAGTGTTTTTTATTTCCTGGAATTTACAGTGCTATAAGGAATCACAAAGATGTACTTCATAACCCTAATTTTGCAAATGATAGAGTCATAGATTGAAAAGCTGAGTTGACTTTGTTGGGAAAATACAATTAAAAACGAATCTCCTGCCAATCTAGAAAACCTCTCCACAACGGCAGAAGAGAATAAAACAGTTTTATTATTGAATAAGCATTAAAGCAAAAGAATATAGCCACCACAGGCAATCTACTGAGAGATCTCATCCATTTATATAGCCAAGTAAATACAATCCTTTACACACACACGTTCTCAAGATAAACAATAACTAATCCTCAAAAAGACTTGAACATTTTGTCATACATAGCTTATCCTAGATTCACTTATAATTGGGATGGCCATCTGTGTTTGCTAATTGGCTTCACACAAAGGAAGAATAACATATCTATATGACAGGAGGCAGTTTTGCAACTTGGAGTTAGACCACCAAAGTTAGGCTCCTATCTTCTCACAGGAACTGAAAGATTGGGTCCTATCTACCTTGATGATTACATTTCAAAGAGACTTATCATTTCCTTGACAGAGACATTCCTGGGTCATAAATCTGGCAACAGCGTGATTTAACATTTTTAAAACTTTACGTACACTTCAGAGACAGAAAAAGAACTTAACTGTAAGTTTTCTGAAGTAAATACTCTAAAAAGGTGGGGAGGGGAAAGTCTGTTCCTTTATTTTTAGCAGGGATAATTAACCCTCTTATTTTTTATTTGTTTTTGTGCTTATAAATAGCACAAGGTTACAACAGTAGGGCAAATCCTAAAGTCTTCTATTGCCCTTCCAATGAGAACACATTCTTTACTCTTCTAGTTGAGCTTATACTTCTGTCCTCTAAAACATCTATCATGGTAGCATCAATTACAGAGATATCAATTATAATATACTTGATGCATATATAAGTATCTTCGGATCAATAAGAAAAATAGCATCAGCATAGTAAAAAAAGGTGCCAAATATATGAAAAAGTAAACAGCAAAGGCTTTTAAATATCTGAAAAGACATTCTATTTTACTCAGAATTCTAGAAACACAAGGAAAATTATAATAAATATACCTCTTTTACTTCCAAATTGACAAAGGTCAAAAATAATGTTGGGAACAACAGCAATCTCATCCTTTGTTAGAAGAGCATAAATTGGTACAACATCTATGGAGGACATTTTATGAAAAAAACTATCAAAATTTTAAGGGCATTCCCTTTGACACAGCAATTCTGCTCTTCGATATTTATCTAAGTAGTGTACTCACACATAAGAAAAATGGCACATGTACAAGAATATTGACTACTGTTTCTAACAGGAAAAGATTGGAACAATCTAAATTCCTATTGATTAAGGACTGACTAGGTAAATTATTGTACATTCATAGAATGGGATAGACTCTACAACCATTAAAAATGAAGATCTATACATATTGATATAAAACTATCCCCAAAGTTAAATGAAAAGCAAGAGGAAAGAAATCTGTATCTTGGGCTATCTTTCATGTGAAGAAAGCTTATGTAAATATGTATATATTTATGTTCATAAATACATTGTGTGCTTCTTGAAGAAGAAAGAAGAAACTAGTAACAGTGATGCTTTTGGGAAAGAACTGGGTGTCTAAGGATGGGGAAAGATGAAGACATTTTCCCTGTATATATGCCTTTGTATTTTTAAAATTTTATTCTATATGTACATAATTTCATTTAAGCATACATTTAAACAACATTTAATGTTAACATTAAAAAATAAATTTTAAAACTATTTCACTATGAAATTAGAACCAGGGAAACATTTATTCATAATTCTGTGATTCTTTGGGAAACTAGGAAGTGGACTGTTTGTTAGGAAAATGAAAAAGAAAAAGTGACAACCTCTTGGTGTCATCTCACTAGAATTATTTGGTTCTGTCGGAACAAAGTAGGAAATGTCTTCCTCCTCTGAGGACCTTTGAGTAAACAAACTATGAAAAATTGAAAGTGGCTCTCTTTTAATTATTGTATTGTCTTCCTGCATAGTCACTTATCCATTAAAACAAACACATTCAGTATGCTAGGCACTGAGGTAGAAGGTAAGTCATATACTAAAGGGAATAAGACACATTTCGTTCTCTTGTATGGTTCATTAAAACAAGTGGTAAATGGAGCAAGATGTGCTGTAAACAAGGGAATTATAAGTTGCTATGGGAGAAGGTGAAAAAGATACAATTTTCCAATTTTATACTTTTACTGTCAAATGTTTCAATATCAAGTACAGATTACTCACTACTTAATGATGGTTCAACTTGAGATTTTTCAACTTTACAATAGCAGGAAAGCAATACACATTTAGTAGAAACCATACTATGAATTTTGAATTTTGATCTTTTCCCCTGTAAGTGAAATATGGTAAGATTCCCTGTCATGCTGCTGGGCACTGGCAGCAAGCCACAGCACCCAGTCAGTCACGTGATCACAAGGATGAACAATCTATACACTTACAACCATTCTGTACCCATACAACCATTCTGTTTTTCACTTTCAGTACAGTATTCAAAAAAATTATATGAAATATTCAACAGTTTCATTATGAAATAGGCTTTATGTTATCTCATTTTGCCCAACAGTAGGCTAATGAAAGGTTCTAAGCACATTTAAGGTAGGCCAGGCTTAACTATGATGTTCAGTAGAGTAGGTGTATTAAATGTACTTTTGACTTATAATATCTTCAACTTACAAAGGTTTTATCAAGATGTAACCCCATTGTAGGTCAAAGAAGGTCTGTAACAGAAGGTTAATGATCATTTTATTCTCTAAAAAATTATTTTTTAAATAATAATAAAGATAAATCTAGCTCAGAGTTTCCCAGTTTAAAAGAACTGGCGTACCTTAAGGATATGCATCTATATAAAACCACAGTAACCATGATGTCCCTTACTTTTTCTAACAAAGCTACTATTTGTAACTTCAAAAAAGTATTTTTCTTAACTTTCTCAGAATTAAAATAAGAGACAGCACTAAGTCCTTTGAGGGAATGGGGGCAGGAACAGGAAGATTGAAAAGTGAGTACTTCGTAGTGGACAGAAGAGAAAAGGCCTGTTGGCACATTCACTTTCATGTCAGTCAGTGTCACTGGTACTGTACAGAAAAGGAGAAGTTTAACTCTGATATAAGCTGATATAAATGGTGATGAAGTCATGCTAGCAACATTTCAAACTGAAGACTGTTACCAATCACATTGTACAGTTGTTTATGCCTCATATTCCTGAATTAATGTCTGATTAAAAGGTTGACAGACAGCATATATTTCATTACCATTTAAATTGATTTATCTTACAAGTGTAAATGAACTCCTAGAATAAAGTAAATACTCCTAGAATAAAGCAAAATATAATACAAATTACAATTTACAACCTAGTTTATTTACTTAAATATGGACATATACATATTTAAGTGTATTTAAGTATATTTAAGTGTATATATATTTGAGAAAGTATGAAAAATACTTCTAAAGAAATATCACAAAGTGTAAAAATATTACTGAAGAAGTTTTCACATTTACTTCAGTGATAAATCCACATGAAGTATGTTCTGGATTGTGAATGGACCTTTATATCTAGAATTTAATTATCTTCCCACCCCAAGGTAAATGTCCTTTGGAGCTCTAAAGTTCTTATTCATTAAATAATTTTATAAAATACCTTATCCCTGGCATCTTTTTCAAATTTTTTCCTCTGGAACATTCATGTTCATTTCCCCATGATAAATGTCTTATAGATGAGGACAATCTTTTATCGTTCCTTGCATTTCCCTACTTTTCCAAATCTCATAAAGAGTAGAAGATACATAGTAAATGTTGATTAGCCAATGATTACAGATTTCGGAGAGTTGTATGTTTAGTCAGGCATAAACCACAAAAGATCTGCAGAAGAGCAGAATTTCCTTTACCTACTTACATGTTGCTACAGCTGAAATAATTCCCTAAAGATTTTCTCCATATTTTTGCATTTTTTTCTCCTTTTTGTTATCTTAATTTAGGACCCAGTTAAATAATAAGGAAAAAGGATTTTATCTGAAAATGTTTAAAAAGACTATGTGCTTCCAAAGATGACCTTAAGAACCAAAAAAAGAGAGACATACTTGATAAATAAAAGTGATCTAATGATTTTTGAATTTTTTATTTTGAAATAAAATTTCACCTTTAAAGAAAAGTTGTAAAAATAGTTAAATACAAAACTACTATATGCCTTTCATCTAGATTCCAAATTGTTAAAATTTTACCACAATTGCTAAATTAGTCTCTCTAGGTCCTTTTATATCTATCTTCCTCTCTCTGCCCTTAATGTATGACTGTCTATTATTAACTGTAAGTTGCAGACAACTTGCCCCTTTTACACCTAAATGATTCAGTGTGTATCTTCTAGAAATAAAATATGTTTCCTCAAAATTAAAGATGATTTAAAGAAATGGAGTGATATCCCATGTGCTTGGATTGGAAGAATTAATATTGTTAAAATGGCCATACTACTCAAAGCAATCTACACATTTAAGGTGATTCCTATCAAATTACCCAGTACATTTTTCATAGAACTGGAACAAATAATCCCCAAATTTATATGGAATCACACAAGACCCAGAATTGCCAAAGCAAAACTGAAGAAAAAGAACAAAGCTGGAAGAATAACCCTCCCAGACTTCAGATAATACTACAGAGCTGCAGTAAACAAAAGAGCATAGTACTGACACAAAACGGACACACAGATCAGTGGAACAGAATGGAGAGCCCAGAAATAAACCCACACACCTACAGTCAGTTAATCTTGAACAAAGGAGGCAAGAATATACAATGGAGAAAAGACAGTCTG